ATATTTATCCGGTTGCTGCTGCGGACAGCTTCAACCGGGTTGGAGCTTAATTATTAGGAACAAGCAGAATAATAAAAAAAAGACAGCATAAGTACGCTATTAAAAAGTGCAGTGTTTTTAATTATAGGATAAACGGAAGGCGAAGTTTATGGGCCGTGTTTTTTCTCTCAGTCACAACATTGTTTTTAAGTAACAAATAAGAAAGCAAGGGACAGTTCCTTGGCTTTATTGTCTGTTAGTTCTAATTAATTTCTGGATAATAGCTTTTGAGGGGCATAATACGCCGAGATGAAGCAAAACCATCCTTAATGAACTCACCAATATGTCATGGCTCGAAATTGCTTCTAACATTATGGGGACCCACATCTAGCCAGTTGATAAGAAAAAACATCATCGTGCGTAATATCAGTACTGAAATTGCCAATTGACCATTTAGTATACGATGGGCAGTGTCTAAACATGACTCGGTAATTTTTTTATTATGTACCCGTATATAAAAGTTGCATTTAGGAGGACGTGAAAACTGTCGCAGTGGCTTCACAGTTCGAGTTGGCAGAGCCGTGAGAGCTGCGTTTAAGCATAAATGGTTTTGAATGTTGATGCGTGTTCTGTTTCTAAATTTTTAACCGCGAACGCAGGCGTACACTGGGCGAAAAATATTTCAAACGAAAACCACTGGGTTCATTTGAAGTGGTTAACACTGGAAATTCGACAACAAACCACTTGATTATTCTTAACGAGCTTATGGCTCAAAGAAACGCAAGAGAAAGACAAGCGCAAATCACACTCTGCTAAACCAAGAAGTCACTCTGCTTAACCCCTTGACCAGCTCCAATTGTCGTTTCCACTTGCGATTCGGACCGATCGCCCAGTGGGTCCCGGTTTCCGCCGGTAGCGCTTATTGTAAACCCAATAAGATACAGTAACCTGTTTCAACTGGGGCCCCACTATAAGGAACTATCGGCCAGCGGCGTAAGTCGGCAAGCCTGCTCACGAGTCGACTCATCAGAATCAGATGGAGGCGTCAGTCTGAGTCTGAGTGAGCGATATTTTGGGAAGTTTGAGTCAGGCGGTGGAAAAGCTTTAGTATAAGCATAAATACGAGCGAGTCTGGTTTATGAAAGCTAATTTAGTCAGTTTAGGGAGCCCCAAGTGAAAGATGTAGTGCTATAGGGTGAGTCTGAGTGATCTCCGATCTGCAGCAGTTTCCTGTAAAGATGCGACCTGATGCCTGATGGGGCTATTATTTTCCTGTGGGTGCACACTGTAGTGTATATAGTGCACACAGCCGGAGAATCTTTACCCTTTAACTCGGCACCATTTACTAGAATCTTATACGGTGTACTTCACATGTTATGTACACGTCTACGCGGGCGTGTGCGCTAAAGACGAAAGACGAGAGCGGAAGCTCTCCACTCAATTCCTTAAGAGAGGCGCCATGTCGGCCTCACATCTGCACTCAGCCAAACTTGTTTCGTCAGTGTTAAATTAACGGTATACTGTCAATTCCGGACCACGTGCCTTCGAGTTTTGCCGCCCGACACTTCGTCAGATAATATGTGATGGTGAATCCTGATGATTCGCTTTTTCTTTAATTATTTATTTTTTTTCTTACGGCAGAGAGTGAGCACCATGGACGTCTTTAAAAGGAAGTAATCAGCCTTAGCGCTACCGGATATTGCGTAAGCGTGAAAGTTAGGAAAACTGCCTGCCTTGTGTAAACTCTGTATGGATAACGTAGTAATGATAATATCTGGGGTTTTACGAGCCAAAACCATGCACTCCTGCGTGGCGGGTGCCGTAAATTTTTACCACCTGAGGTTCTGTAACGCCTCGGCCGCTGGCTTTGAACGTCGCGGTTTCGATGCCGACTGCGTATATAGGTCGCATTCGGAAGGAGGCAACATACGAGAGGCCTTTGTATTGTGCGATGTCATTTTACTGTGTTACCATCCGGTGTAAACTAACACCGGATGGCCGACATTTCCGGAGCCTTCGACTGCGGCATCCCGCTTGACCATATCTCGACTTTGGGGGCTTAAAATCACAGATCTTGTTGTAAAGAAATACTCAGGCTGACTGCATATCTAGATATTGCGCAAGCACGCAAATCACGAGAAACGGCGCAATTTTGAAGTCAGTGTAAATTATTCGAAATGGTACCGCCGCTGCGAGCATCGAACCCTCGACTTTCGTGTGAGCAGCAGAGCAGGCTTACGAGCAGTAAATAAAGTTTGGAGCATGCGCAGTCAGGGTGACGGCGGACGTTAACGATATAACGCGTTTTCATTCTACGCTGATTATTATCGATTGTCAGACGGCGGCTCTTTATCGTCTCTATCACGAATGCTGCCGCAGCGTTCTCGTGGGCGTTTGCTCTTGTTGCGTTGGCACTAGAAGCAGCTGCAGTTCAGAATTTGTCGTGGTGTCAGCAGCACGTCCCAGCACCGGGAAACATGGGAGGAAGGTCGAGTAAACAAGGCTTGGAACGTTTCAGAGCTGACACCGACGACTCCGTCGTTCCGCGGGAGGCTGACCCTGCGACTGGCGTCGTCGACGAGACCGAACCGCAGCCAGGCACCATGGACACTCTGCCTAAGGAATCGTTGTGTCACCTGGCAGTAGGTGAGTACTCGTTAAGCGTAAACAGCCCGGCTGATTTGCTCTGGTTATAGCTATGTAACATGTTACCGGTGAACAGGACACGGGTGAGAGAAAAAAAGCAACAACGCCAGGTGTTGCAGCGTCTGCCACAACAACGCCAGAGTTGGCAGCTGGCGTTGCTGTTCGGCAGTACCATGTTACATAAAGCACGTTCATTCTAAAAGACAGGGCGGGCCATGACGGACGCATGAAAGACATGTAAAGACATCCCAAACGCAACGTTTGTGATGTCCTAACTTCTTTGTTGTGTCTATGCTTGCACTCCGTCTTTAGGAATCAATAGTTACGTACTAACTCAGGTCTTATAAAGCACATGTTCTCTTTCGGTTACTGCACACAGGCCGAAGCTCTGCGAAATGCAGGCATCGTCTAATGTCGCGTTAAAAGTAAATCAGCCTAGAGCTCAGCTATATGTAACAGACGAGTAAACCGAAAGTGCAGACAACGACCTTCTTGCCTTTCGTTCACGTTTTGCTCTGTCTACAGTAGAACGCAAAAGCCACCAAGTTCGTCAGTCATTTCTCCTGCGTTAGAACATTACAGAAGCGCTAAAATGGCGTCATTTCCCTGCTGTGGACTCCTGCTGTGGATTCGCTGCTGAGACAAATCCAGAATTTATAAACAGCAGTAAATGTAATTAACTTAGATACAGTTTGTCGCTGGCACAAGCTGTTGTTTCAACGTTCATACGCATCATGACTTCATGGTGTAGTGCCTCTCTGAGGATTGTGGCTACTGACCCCAGGCAAAAACAGTCAAAAAAATCTCGCAACACTCCTGTTTACATCTGCTTGAACAACTTCTTCATAGCCAGCCTCATGTCCACACGCCACCAGCGAGTGTTTCTAGTTCTTTCACGTCGACATTGACGTTAGAACTGCAGGTGTTAGACTTTTAAAGACACGGTACCAGTCTTTTATTAACCTAATAGTATGCTTATCAGTGGCCTACGTTCTTTTCCAGGAGAAAATTCCAAAAACGTATACGATTCCGTGATGTAACGCTGTTTCTTGGATTTGTGCATGACTGTGTAAAACCAGTGATCGACGTCGGCTCGAGCAATATAAGCTTTACAAGTGACACGTTTACCGTTGGTGCGCAGGCTCTGCGGTTACCTGCACGTACAACGGCAAGGAGGCCCGGCTTGTCAAGCCCTTCGATCAGCCCAGTACGCTGGACGGCTACACGTTCAACCTGGCCTGCAAGTTCGAGTCGAAGAAGGGCAAAATAGAAAGCGTCCGCTTCCTCTTCACCCTGTGCGCCGGAAACGAAGACGATCTCGCGTCGTGGCCCTTTGCCAAGCAGGTGTCGCTCAGGATCGTCGACGCGGCGAAACAGGGCAAGGACGTCGGCGTGACCTTCAAGATGCGCCCCGAAGAGGACGCCGAGTGCTTCAGGAGACCCGTCGCGCATGCGCCGCAGAAGGGAATCCTTTCCGAGAAGGTCAGCTGGAAGCAAGTGAACAAGAGGAAGCTCGTTCGCGACGACGTCTTGACTGTGGCAGTGCAGTTTCAGTGATGTCATGCCCGTGCTACGCGATTGTTTTCACGTCATCTTGGGTTCACGTTGCACTTGTCAAGCTTACGCGTATTATGATGGCTGACGTGCTGTTCCTCGTTATAAGTAACAGCGCCATCACTTCGCCGTGTCACGGCGTATTGGACCCGAACGTTGGCGGTGTGGCGCGTTAACTGTGGCGAATGCAGTTCCAGTGATGCGTATACACTCACGCTGCGAGATTGTTTTTATGCTATTTTGAGTTTTGTTCCAATTATCAACCTTGCCTGCATTTGCCTGACAATGCTGAGCGCGGGTACCTTTGTTTTCACGAAGAGGACGAACGATTCAGCATACAGGAATGTTGTCTGTGTGGCGCGTTGAACAATAGCTCAGATAATGAAGTTTAATATAGCCGTGAAGCATGCTAATCCCTAACGTATGTGAGTACATTTGGGGCGTGCGGCGCTTTTACGGCGCTTCTCTTAGTATATTCGTGGTAGTATATTCACCACCTGGGATTTCAAATAATAAATTTTAGCATCTTGCGCACGTTTGTTTGCATTTTTTAGAATACGCGTGGTATAGTAACCAGCCTAATAAAAATATCTGCATCTCTTTCGCATTCGTGTATGGATTGCTTGGTCGTTGTAGTGTATATACATGAATTACGCAATTTTGTCGCGACCGTTATTGTCATTCAGACGAATGATGTTATGGGGCGCCTTGAGGTGTTGGCTTCGGTGATAAGTTTTCGCTTGTGTATGGGCATATCAGGTCGCCCAAGAGGCGGGACAATAGAATTGGAGCAACGTCGTCTATTGTAAGCGCTTGGAAAACTAGCCCTTCTCGAACGAGATGAACAGGGCGTGCGTTCTCTGATAAAGACAGGGATCATGTGTCTTGCCTTCCACTAGTGTCGATCACTATATATAGCGCGCACACAGAATCGCACACATGCCGATGCGAAGCAATGAAAACATCATGACTTCTTCTTTTGCTCTGTGCTCTTTTGCTCTGTGCACAGAGCACCAATGTGCTCTGTGCGTTTACAAAATGCCATGTCCTAGGTGTGTTGACAATGACAGACGGCCTTTAAACATGCAAAGGTGTGTTAACTGCAAGGGCACCATGAGGCAAACATGGAATGATCGCAACATGAGAAAATCAAGGTGTGATTCGCGCACCGTTGCTTCTTAAGAAGTCGACAAGAAACTAATATTCTATAATTATGGTATGGCAGCAACTGAATACGATGTCTTAGGCACCTCGCCCAGAAGGGCAGCGTTGAGAACCGCAGAATCCTGGAAAAGGCTTCTATCGTCCAAGAACTCTCACAAACATCTATATCACAAACATCTCACAAACATCTAAAAGTACGTGACCCGTCTTCGGACTTGCCGTATGTAAATTTTGCTTTAACAGAAACCGCCACCATAGATTTAGTTGATATACGGTGGACAAACGTTACGTAATGAGGCGCTGCCCTTTGTTCCATCGCAAAATTTTAATGTGGAAGCCGGCTGAAACCTAATAGACATTACGGCTGTTGTTTGCCAAGGTGCCCGTTATAAACACATTTTTCATGAGCATGCGCAGGTTTCTCCACTAAAATCGCGTAAGAGGGGGGGAGGGCGGCAAGTGTCACCGTCATCCCCTCCCCCAGACTTTTTCTTGGTAGAGTCCGAAAGAAAACACACTCCGCCGTAGATATTTGGTTGACGAAACGCACGCTGGACGATGATGAATTAGGACGATCGCGAGATCGTACAGAAGCTTAACGAATAGCCCACGCTTTCATTCGCCATGCATGCAAATTGAAAATTGAGCAATGAGATGCTTTCCGCAACGGCCCACCATTGGTAACTGGCTCTCTGGGGGCAAAATTGGCAATAGGCAGTTTGAATGCAACGCCAGGAGTCCTATTTCAAAGCTGTCTTGTCCACAAGATTTATGCGGGGGTACATTCACCTAAGCTGCTTAACTATATAAAAGATAAGCTTACGATGAATATTCGATCTTGAGATGTCTCTGTTAACTTAAGTTCGTGCTAAAGACGGGGTTCTTGTTACGCATAGAGCAACAGACTACACGAAGCTTGGCTTTCTGAGAGAGATTGTGGTTATAAAAGGGAAAAGAAGAGAAAGTGAGCCCCGTAACTGTCTGCATCTGGTGCGACACCTGAACAGTAGGCCACAAGCGATGGGGGTAAGGAGAGATTAAAAGGGTAGGATTAAAGGTAAATATATATATATATATATATATATATATATATATATATATATATATAATATATATATATATATATATATATATATATATATATATATGTATGTAGAGACAGACAGCGGGACAGCGAACTACGACGGAAGTAAAGAGAAGATAGGAAAGATGAAACAAGGTCACAGTAGTCCGAGGACGGGGCACCACTGGCGAGAGCTCTTGTCGGCAACAGGAGATGGCGTAGGGCTAATCCAGTTGGCCAGAGCTACGCTGTCGTCGTCGTAGGGTGCTGACGGCTGGAGGTGGCGTAGGACCAACCCAGTCAGCCACAGTTGCGCTGTCGTCGGGAGATCGCGAGGGCACGACCGGTCGGCACGGAATCCAGCGAGCGAGGGCCAGCCAGTCATCCAGACGCACGCCACGCGCCACCGGGCCGTGCTTCCCCTTATCTCCCGGCGTCCGCGTTGCTGGCCTTTGAAAACCGTCCGGTTGCCTTGTCACGCGCACTCATCTTTCCTGTCTCTCCTATCCCCTCAGTTTGTTGTTGCTTCTTCTTCCTCTTTTCTATACCTTTACTTCTACCCTTTTATCCCTCCGCACCCCCATACCTTGTGAGCTCTGTGGCGGTGTCGCTCACTGAAACAGGCAATAACGGGGCTCACTTTTCTCTTCCTTTCTCTTAAGAACCACTCCATTAAAAGAACAGAAGGCTGAGTGGGATGAGGCGTTCTCTTGACAGGAAGTGAGCGAGATCGACGGCGCGTTTAGTCGGGTCAGTTATCGCCTCTGTTGAGAACTTGGTCGGCGCCCTATCTTAATTGTAAAACCGCACGCTGCCTGTACTGTACGTTGATGGCTATCTTCCTTTGGATCTCATGGCGATGCCCTGACCGCGCTCTTACCTGCAATGCGGCAATCGATATGGCGAGTGTTTCTTGCTATGCACCTGCGAAGCGTCCCGTCTTTGAAAATGTTGGGACCATTGCTACCCTCCAGAAAGGTGAGGTGAGCGAAATGTTTTCGACTGTTTTTTCTGGCACAATGTCAGGGTTATTTTTTTTGCTTACTCCAGTTTGAATGCAGTTTCAATTAACCACAATCTTGTTCTTTTTTAATCTTTCTAATTCAGTATTTTCTTATATTCTAATTGGATGCACTTCTAGCTGCATGCCCTCTAGAATAACAATGCGCTGCGCTACCAAGGGCTTACGGGCGATGCTTAGAACTATTAAAGAATGTCAAGGCGAAAGCTTGCTTCGATCCATGGCGATTTGGAATGAAGCTTTGAGCCCACGCAACGACGCAATAGTACTGTGCAATCGAGTACACTGTTCTTAGTCGAGGCTTGCCCGTCCCTTGGCGTAGCGTTGGTAACGTGGTCTTACGGCGTGGCGAAAGCGGGACTATGCAGGAGTTGAAAGGGTTGCGCCGTACCAATGCCACATTTTCTAGGTGGCATTGGCCGTGCCAACAGGGGCGAGGATCGGTGGAAAGGGCGAACGAGAAAGAGGTAAATGCGCTAAGAGGGGGGTTGCCAAGTCTCGGTGGAAAGGGTGAACCGCTAAGATGGGTAGTGTCAAGGCTCGGTGTAAAGGGTGAACCAACAAGATGTGAACCAATGAGAGAAAATATGGGTGAGGGTGAGCAAAAGGGAAATCAGATTCACTGTTTTTCTTTGGCGTACGCGAATCGAAGCTGGTTGCACTTTTTTTCAAGCTAATTAAACTTGTTGTTACTCACATATTTCTGTGTCGGTCAAGCAATATATCAATAATGAGCAGAGAAGGAGCCGAAACGTCGTTTTTGTACTTACAGGAGCCAAGAGCAACGGGGGCCGGGAGGCGAAGATAACACTGTGCTCACGTTTTGCGCTTATTGACGCGTACATTACTAAGAAATCAATGATTTGGGTCATTGCGTTGCTCGCAGTGTCATCAGTACTGGTGTGCTCTGTCTGGCCCATTTACGCTCGCTGCATATGGCCGCCTGGTTTACATAAAACAAACGCCTCTGCCTAAAATGTCAAGTGTGCATACGTTTTTTTTTTCTTGCCGATATGGCTTCAACCATTCTCGTTCTAGAGGACGTGTGCGTGTACCTTAATAAGGTGACTGGGCTAGTTCGTTATGCATACTTAAGATAAACACAACAAATAAAACACAATTACGCTAAGGAACACACAGAACAGTGTTTTTTGTGTGTTGCTTTTCGTGGTCCTGTTTTATTTGTGTTGTGTATGTTAAGTATACGGTTGTGATCACAAAAAACAAGCTTTCGAAATGTCTATAAGGAAAGATATCGATGAGTGCTTTTCTTTATTTTATTGATAAAACAGTGCTATGGACCGATATATTAGGGGAAAAAAGCTAAAAATGAAGTACATATCATGCATGGCTTAAACATACCACTGGACTTTGCATTCACTTAGTTTATTGTGTCAGCGAGATGAGACTGCCGCCACAGACGTAATCGCAAAACTTCATTGTTGTTCATAAGGTCTGATCTCTGCTTTGTTCCACTCCCTCGTCCTTCGTGTTCGCCCAGAAATGTGTCTAAGTTCCTGACGAAAGGTCTGTTCGCAGCAATTTTCCTTCCCTACTTAGTTTTAGAAAGCGGTGGTACAATTCGCTCACGGTTTCCGACCTGTCCAATGATACGTCGTGGCCTCCCCAAAGTACGTTGGTGTAAAGGAGCGTCCCAGCCATGCGCTCGTAACCAAGCAAAGGAAGGGAGCGATTACCTTGCACGAACCACGGCTTCCGTTTGACCTCGAGGAAGTGATGTGAAGCATGCCATCGTAGTTTCTTGAAACATGGCTCAATATTGATTTCCGGAAAAACGGCATCGTATTGAGCAGTATAGAAAAGCATAAGTGTACTGTTGAGTACATACTCCAGTTTCTTTTTAACGTCTACGTAGAAGTCCCCTTCAATCAGTTCCTTCGTGAGTAACGGCCTGCAACCGTCAAGGACCCTGGAAACGTTAACGTGAATTATCTTCTTGAAATTTTCGCTATTCGCATATCCCATGTACCACTTAACTTCATCGGGTTCCTGAGGTCTTGCTATGCTTCCGTGGTGTTTGAAGCCGGTTAGGTATTGGAATACGGTCATATTTTCGGGAGGTGCCTGGTTCAAAACAATTCGGTTCAGGTCTTCAGTAGCCTTGGAGTAGTGTTTCTGATCGACGAGGCCTTTTATCATGTCTAACCAGCCGGCGAATGTTCTTCGGCCGAAATCGCCAAGCAGTCCGGAGTAAAACAGGTAGTCCGTCGAGTTGAGGAGTTCAAGCAGTGGAAACACAAAGCCTACGCCTAGCATGGCCCCTTTGAGCTTCAGGTCGATTTGCTTGTGTTTCTTCAGCACCTTGTACGCCACTCCGACAGCAGATCTTGCTGAAACAAAAATATGTTAGAAAGAATTGAAGTACTTATATCAGCTCAAAATGTAAGAGTTTTCGCAGGTTCATCGACTGCTGGTAGCGACGTTCGTTTCTTCCCGTAATGTCTGACGGGCTTAGGAATATTCGTCCACGTACATGGTACGGCTGTGTTCGGGAATAGCCCCGAGAAAATGCGCTTACAAGCGAATAAGTGTTCATTAATGTTGCAAAGCAAGAGCCACAATATCGCAGTGAGGGTGAAACAATGGGTTCGATAGCCACACATTTTAATTTTATGCAAAGGCTGATGAGTGTGATAGCCACACATTTTAATTTTATACAAAGGCTGGTGAGTGCGATAGCCACACATTTTAATTTTATACAAAGGCTGGTGAGTGCGATAGCCACACATTTGAATTTTATACAAAGGCTGGTGAGTGCAATAGCCACACATTTGAATTTTATACAAAGGCTGGTGACTGCGATAGCCACACATTTGAATTTTATACAAAGGCTGGCCGTAACTTGCTCATGGATTCGAGTGCTGCAGGGTCTACAATACGCCGACGTAGGGAAATACAGCCGCTCCAGTGAGCGACGCGCTTTTCGTGATTCTCTTGAACACAACCCGTACACAGTCATGAGTCCTTTTGGTTTACCATGGCCTCCGAGATTTCGGGTTCGCGGCGAGCCCTCAAACGCACCGCGCCCACAATCTCGGAGGCCATGGGTTTACGAGCGTAGTATACCTACCGAGTGACGCGGCCACTCAACTACCGTGCACCCCCTTCATGCGCGTTCACTGCAGCAGGCTGGCTAGCTTTCATTTCTGCTTCGGCCGTGCTCGTCCGTAGCGTTCGCAAGCTTTCCTTCGCATCAGAGAACACAATGTGCGGGGCGTTGCGCTATAGATTTGGACTTTATACGGAACGAACATGACAGTGACGGCAAAAGTGCACCTCGAGTATTCATTGAACTGCTATCGCAATAACATTATTCAATACTGAACGAGTATGCACGTCAAAGTTTAAGTGTGGGTTAAGAAATATACAATGATAGCAAACGAAAGAAGCACTTCTGAAGTTTGAGTTTATTCAACCACGTAACAAGTACACGAAGATACACTGTATACGTGGTTTGGTGCGAGGGGAAAAAAGCTGCATTTCACAGCTTGACTGGCCCCTTCACCCAGAAAAAAAATCTAAACTACAAATTTACAAAAATTACAAAAGTGAGGTCCTTATCCTGTCAAGAAGGAGTATACGATCCCTGCGAAAACATGTGTACCTGCCGCACATGCGCACCGTTTTTGAGTGCTAACGCAGGTGATCACCACACACCGCACTTCCACCTAAATTCTTGCCTTTTGGGGGCGTATTTTATTGCCCAATATACTTAATGATTATAGACTGATACAGTTGGATCTCATTATTCTCGTACAGAACGCTTTAGCAGGTTTGCCTGTTGTGCGGGCACGGTGTAAAACAACAAACCGTCGTGTGTGAAGAGCACGCTTAACAATCAAATTCGATGCAGTGCAGAGGCGAATGCGTGAGTCACATTCCACTTCAAGGATTAGAGATGCTTCTTTCAGCGCGCAGTCATACGCAGGCCCGTCTGGCCTGCGTATATCCATTTGCTATTGCGTTCAGTTGATTGCGTGTAAGACAAACTTGGTTTATATTCTATTAGTCCGTGGGCTTTGTAAATGCGGCATTTTATCATTTTATAGCTTTTATTATGCTGTCATTCGCCTTTCGCAATCTTCAATGTTTTTATTCTACGATTTTCGTCAGCCTTTCAATGCGTTACCGCCGCAACCAATAATTTTAGAAAACGTTTTTCATAGTTTACTCGTTACACTAGTGATGGAAGCATTCGTCAGCATAAACAAATTTGAAATTTATAAAATCTGTCCAAAACAAGTTTCCCACACCACGCTGGCGTAAGAATATATAGAATATCGGCTTGGGAATTTCTTACTCCCCTGTACATTCAAACATGTATGAGCAATTGAATTTATGCTGGCAAATAAGCGCTATATGAAAACAAAAGTGCACTGGCGTGGAAACTTCCGCGGGGACGACGCCATCCACCTACTAAAAAAAGTTAACATAATTTGGGGCCTACACCATTTCTTAACGTAAGGGTAATAAATTCTACATGCCATTCTTTTCTGCAGCGACGCTCACCAGGTATTTCCAGGTAACGGATGAAATGCTCCGCGTCTGCGTGACGTAGCATTGCTGGCGAGAAAGTGTCTAGCGTTGCGTTTTCAATAACAAAGATCTGGTAGCGTTACAATAGAAGGTGATCGTATAGATACAAGATAAAAAGCGAAGTGAAGAATAATATCTTTCGTTTTTTTAGGGAAGCAAGGGGGACGATTCTCGGGTGATATTTTGTATAAGCTTTCTCCTAGTTCTTCATAGTCCGCTTTGCTAGAATAGTGGCTATAGGGCGCTCGGCTGCAGACCCGAACGTCGTTGGATCCAGCCCTGCCGTGGAGGTCGGGCATGTAGCGCGTAGGGCAGGGTAATCGCTGGTCATTAAGCGTAACTCATTCTAGCCACCCTATAGCGTAACTAACTGGATTCCCAGAGAAGGCAAGCGGGTTAGGGGGAGACAGAAGGTTAGGTGGGCAGATGAGATTAACAAGTTTGCGGGTATAAAATGGCAGCAGCAAGCACAGGACCGAGTTGACTGGCGGAACATGGGAGAGCCTTTTGTCCTGCAGTGGACGTAGTCAGGCTGATGATGATGATGATGATGATGATGATGATGATGATGATGATGATGATGATGATGATGAAGTGTTAGAGACCCCTGTATTGTGTGGTGTGGGTGCACGTTTAGGAACACAAAATGGCCTAACGTTACGGAGTCATGCACTAAGGCGTCTCTCATAATCATGCCTTGGTTTCAATATCTAAAACCCTATATATTATTATTAGTTCTCCGTAATGTCGTTGTGCTCCAGATTTTTTTTTTTGCCAATGCAGTTGCTCTGCGTGAGGAATGTACAGTGTAGTGCTACAGTAGTAGGCCTAATCAGATGACTCATAATGTCGTCTTTCATCTCCTGCACTACGACATTCATCTATTGTTTCACAGATAAATAAATAAATAAATAAATAAATAAATAAATAAATAAATAAATAAATAAATGGCAATCGATTCCTATTCACGACAGCAAAACTCTGGGGAGCCCGCTGTGTGCTAATATTACGCGCGCAGCAGTTTAGTAGAGTGACTCGTTGGGCGTGTTGCTTCGTTCCTAAGGTAGCTTTAGCGCGATATAAAGACGAGAGACGGACAAGTGCAATAGATGCCCCGCCGTGGTGGTATATTGCCTAAGGTACTCGGCTGCTGACACGCAGGTCACGGGATCGAATCCCGGCTGCGGCGGCTGCATTTTCGATGGAGGTGAAAATGCTGTAGGCCCTTGTGCTTAGATTTGGGTGCACTTTAAGGAACTCCAGGTAGTCAAAATTTCCGGAGCCCTCCACTACAGCGTCTCTCGTAATCATATGGTGGTTTTGGGACGTTACACCCCACATATCATCAGGACAAGCGCAATAGTGTTGAACTTCGGTAGAGTGGCTTGTTGGGCGAGTTGGTTCATTTTCAAGGTCGCCCAACAAGCCACTCTACTGAAGTTCAGCACTACTGCCCTTGTCCGTCTCTAGTTTTTATATCGCGCTAAAGCCACCTTAAGCAGAAGTTTGGCAGTGCACAAAAAAGCATTACCCCCATACGACTCTCCCGCAATGTAGAACTCCTTGTGCTTGTATTCCGGGAAGGTTCTCAAAAAGCGCTTCAGGAATGTCAGGGCCTGCTCCGATGCTTCATCAAGAGTGCCGGGGTATCGGTCGTTGTCGTCAAAGCTGTATCCCGACCCAACAGGATGGTCCAGGTAGATTAAGTTGAAGTCCTTTAACAGGCTGTGGTTCCTGTAGTAGAGGCCACCGGTGGCGTTGATGCCCAGGGGCCCATTTTCGAGGAACTGGCTGAATAACGATGATTTCCAAGGTCCACCTTGTATCCAAAGGAGCAGTGGTTTCGAGCTCGATCGACCCTGAAAATGGGGTGAAAGGGCAAGTCTCCTAAACTGGCTTAGACAAATGAGTGCTCCAATAGAAACAGAAATGAAAGAAAGTTTTCAATTAGTAGGTCGGGCAGTGAGTGTGTTTAGTCGGCAAATTTAGTTATTAGGTACAAGAAGCCAACTATTCAGTGAACCTACACGTGCCCAGCAGCAAAGCGCGTCCTTGTGTTCTCTCACGTAGAGATACAACTATTGGAGAATACAGAAAATACAGTCCACACAAAAAAAGTGTCGACAAGGAAGAGCGAAAATGTGAAAGTAACCAGGACAAGAGGGCGAAAATACGCTAGAACAAAATGAAAAATATAGAACGCTACTGACATATACAAATTGCATGAAAAAAGGGCACGACGTAGTCGCATTTGGCAAAAGAACAAATAATATTTACGATGCGCAACACCATGTTGAAACAGCGCAAGGCTCAATTACTCGAAGCCAATAAAACACTGTGATTAAGAAAAATGCATTATAAATGCTTTATATCCTGTGAGTGTTTGAGTATTGGCAGATGCAGGCAGATAAATGAAACAGTATATGAGCTGCGAGTTTCTTACTCAGAATTGGAAAAGCAATACACTTGAGCAGTTCAGGAAAGTTGCACCATAAACTAACTTGAAGAAAAACAGATGAACCTGATTTCATCGGCATTTATATGCCAACAATGAGAACAATCCTGCTGTACCTGAACAAAATCTGGTTATTTATAAAGAAGTGATCCAGTGATTTATCCAGTCATTCAAAAAGAAGTTTGAATAAAATGTCGCTCATGCTATCAATTTTATTACTGATGAGCGAAAGCACTGAAGGTTTCACGCTGTAACAATGATTGCTTCACGAGTTTCACCCCAAACTCTTCATTATTCATTCCGTGGATATGATGTGATTGTTTTCTTCGACCTGATAATTTTGACGTACATTGAAAGCAATTAAATCATAGGAAACAATTGGCAGTGACTTAGCTCGGCTATGCCAGGATATACGTAAGGTTAGCTACAGATGGTTGGACAGACAGACAGATGGACGGGCGGATGGACGGACACGCAAGCCGACAGGCAGATGGACAAATGGGCAGACAGACAGGCACATGGAAGAACGGATGGATGGACAGACAGATGGACGGACAGACAGACGGAGATATGGACGGATAGACGGAGAGATAGACGGACGGACAGATGGACATTCAGACGGATGAATGAACAGAGAGTCTGAGAGGTGGACAGACAGACGGATGGATGAACAGACGGACGGACAGGTGGGCGGACGGACTAGTGAGCTAGCTCACGAGAGTCAAGCGTCAGTTCACTATAGTGACACTTCACTCCAGGGAATTCGAGGCCCCCTACGGCGCGCCAGCAGTCCACCGTGCGGCGTTGTTGCTCCTCGGGCATGCGCAACACCGATAAGCTGCGCAATACTGCTCAACCTCGATCAGTGTAGCTGTGCTACAAAAACACTTGTTTTTTTCAGTTAAATCAGAGCTCTCAACCTTGTAGTTACGAAAGTACGACGAGTAAGTCAACGTAAATATCTTGGAAACAGAGTACACATAAACTGCCAAGGAGCGTGAAACGATGTCCTCATACTTCGTTCACTTTGACCAAGCCAGAAGGCAGTTTTAATGATTCTGCTGGGAGTGTATTGCGACATTAGAGAGAAATACGCCCTCGCAGCTCTAGGGAAAACGGTACCTTGCTTTTAACGAGAAAGACAGAACAGACCCGCCGAGTGGTGAGGAAAAGGCACATGAAATAAAAAGTGAGCAGATGAGAGGAAAGACAAAGATATAAAAGTGGGTGGGGGGGGGGGGGCATGAAGTGCGCACAAAAAAAAAAAAAAACTTGAGGTAAACGTATTCGACAGAAATGTCTTGCTGAAGGAAATTGACTGTCCGGCCAGCCTCGAAGACGGCTGGACATACATTCCTGGGAGAAGACACTGAACGTGTCTTGAAACGTAGCGTCAGCTTTTGAAATTGCAAGCTAAAACCAAATTTGGCTGGAAAGCCTTTTCATTCATAAAATAAATGCCCCCACCTCCTACAAAGGAATCGTGAGGAAATGAAAATGCACTTCTTGCGCAGAGAGAGGGTACCGTTACCGTCAGACACTTGCCATCACCGACTTCTGTTATCACCTTGAGAGGCGCCCAACCTGCCAACGGTCGAGAGCGAGGCGCGAGCGGACGGGAGATTGGGGCACTGGGAGGAGAGAGAGAAACGGCGAGAGAAGGAGAGGAGAAACACTGCACCTACCATCTCCTACACTTTCTCTTTAGGCACTGCGCCATGCTCCTGACCGGGCTGCAGAAATTAGGCGCCTTTCTCCTCATCTAAGCACTACCACCACCCCCATTTTCTCGCACCACATGCTCTGGTTGATAGGAGCGTGGATAAGCGCACACAACCGCAGTTATTGCTATAGAAGAGGGAGTGAGAGCGGAGAGATAACACCTGCCGGAGCGTGGACACTGCCACGGACAGAAATGAATTCACATTTAAAAGTGACGTCATATCCACGAAGTGAATGTTGATGAAGGAGCTTGCTCCGGAGGTTCAATCTGGGAAACCGTGAATCCTCCGCACATCCACTCGAACACCACACAAAGACGTGCCCTATCAGGGGCAGCAAAGAGTTTCCGACGTTAAACCCCAACAATTATTATTATTAATGTTATAGCGCCACAAAACCTGGTCACTTCCGCATAAATCTCTTTCCAGAAGTGACCAGGTTTTGTGGCGCAGACTTCAAACGTCCACAGTGATGACTCCTTTTCTTCTCTCCCTTTTTACTCAAGGCGAAACCTCTCCTCGTTGCGCGCCCCGCCGCGGTGGTCTAGTGGCTAGGGTACTCGGCTGCCGACCCGCAGGTCGCAGGATCGAGTCCCCACTGCTGCGACTGCATTTTGATAAAGGCGGAATCGTTGCAGGCCCGTGTGCTCAGATTCGAGTGCATGTTAAAGAACCCCAGGTGGTCGAAATTTCCGGAGCCCTCCACTACTGCGTCTCTCATAATCATATGGTGGTTTTGGGACGTTAAACCCCACATATCAATCAATCTCCTCATTGCAACTTATGTCCTAGCACCAGAGCCGACTTCCATCACGCATTTCTTAATTGTCTGAACAAACCCAAGCCACCGTGGCAAGGGTCAGAACACCAAGAGCGATGGGAGGCTGTTCTGCACAGCTCGCAACCGGGGTTACAGCTCCGGGCAGTCAGCTGTGCCAGAAGGGTAGCAGAAGCACAGCAATGTCCGGCGGCCACCTAGAGCGGCCCGAGGGGAAGGGAGGCAGGGGAGTATCCACTCCCCCTCCCACACCGCCCCCCCCCTTCAAATGAATCTATCGGGAATCAATAAAGTTGCTTACCTGCCTACCTATAGCGATGACTCGTCGCAGTGCCTACCCCCGTACTTCGCGAAAACTGGTGGATTCGACCCGAAGTCGCAAGCCCCATGCCTTGGAATGGTGCCAACTTTGGGCGTGCCAACGAACGGAGGTCGCGTCGGTGGCGTTGTTGCGTCTCGCGTGTTTGCGTCGGGGCGCGTGTTGTTGCGTCGGGGCGCGTGTTTTGCTGACCTCTCATGCAAGAAGAGATACGCGCACATCGCGTTTCAATATAACCCTGTCATTTGCTCCAGAGGAAGCCCTCAGAGTCTTCCCAACTCCAACTAGACTATCAAGAAGGGTATTCCCTCTCCCACACCCGGCCTTGTGCAGGGCGCAGGCAGTCACCCTAAGACTATTGCAAGCCAGTGCGTATCCTAACCCTGCGGTTCTTCATGCCATCTACCCTGAACGGTATCCAAGTGCGGATTGCCCCGCTTGTGGACTGTTAGCCACATTCAATCATGTGTTGTGGGAATGTGAAGCCATCGGCCCTACCCTCAGCGAGGACAGGTGGGCTGCGCTCTTACGCAGCCCCGAACTTAAGGATCAAATCCTGGCCGTCCAGAGTGCCCGTGAACGGGCCGCCAAGCTCGGCTTGACGGTCCCAACGTGGGATTAGCCGGGTGGCGTGGGGTCTCCCCTGCGTCTTCTCAGGACAAAAATAAAGTTTTAATCAATCAATCAGACTATTCTAGGTGGCGTTGGTGCATCTGCGAACCTAAGGTCTCTAGATCTACAGACCTTATGCGTACCTTCCCGCCTTATAGACGAACGCATTCGCTTCGTACTACTGACTGCGCTGAGAAGAATATCTCTTGTCATTGCCTTTCGCTTTTTCTTCCTCTTGTCTCTTCATCCTATCATGTTTACTCCCCCCTCTCCCCATCCCTAAAGTCCCAGAGCCGTGACTGCGCAATGGGAGGCAGAAAATAGCGTCCTTTTAAATGCAAAGCATTTCTTAGCAAACTTCAGCGAGTTTGACATTATCTATCTATCTATCTATCTATCTATCTATCTATCTATCTATCTATCTTCTATCTATCTATCTATCTATCTATCTATCTATCTATCTATCTATCTATCTTATCTATCTATCTATCTAGCTATCTATCTATCTATCTATCTATCTATCTATCTATCTATCTATCTATCTATCTATCTATCTATCTATCTATCTATCTATCTATCTATCTATCTATCTCTATCTATCTATCTATCTATCTATCTATCTATCTATCTATCTATCTATCTATCTATCTATCTATCTATCTAGCCACCTACGACTTTTAGCTCTCCTGCAGCCGTTTCGATAATGGTATGATGCCGAAACTGGTATGGAATAACATTATGCCAGTCTGACGAGCATATGTTACTATATAATCATAACATGAAAATCATGAAGTGTATGTCACGAATTTCAAGATTTAAATTTCATGTTCTTGCTGCTCTTGCGGTGGTTTCGTTGGCATGGCATAGTGCAAAACTGGTATGGTATGACATGACTGCATAACGAACATGAGTGATGGACCCTAACGTGGAAATCATGACATGCATGTCATGTAAGTCATGACTACACGCTACGC